TGGCGGGGATCGGCCATACGCGAAGCGTCAAGAATATGACATCAGCAAGTTGTGACCGAGTCGGAAGGGGTGAGGCGCGAGCCAATGTATAGAACAAGAAGTCGAGTCGTAAAGAACGTGTTGCTATACGAATTCGAGCGGCTCTGATCCAGGGTCCTCGCCTGCAGGTGTGTGCTCCCCTGCAATCAGAGCGAGCCCATCAGGCAACAACGAAAGCCGTGCTCTGGCCGCACGGCGCTCGTCTAGCGTGGGCTTCCACTTGCCGTGCACGTGGTCGTGGCGCGTCGCGGCCCTTGTCGCCGCGGGGCCGCTCTGCCGCTCCAGCCGCGCCATCATCCACCCTAGCGGGCGGCCCTGGCCCTTCTTGGGCCCTGGCGTTGACACGCGAGTGCTATGGCACGGCAAGTGGTGGACATGATCAGCGTCCGTGCAGGTGGCCACGAAATACTTGCGATCGGGCGTATCATAATAGCTGATCCGCCCAAGGCCAGGCACAAAAACAACGATCTGAGCTGGCAAACCCCCGCCGCCTCCGCCGCCGACAGGCGGCGGAGCTGGTGGCGGTGGCGGTGGTGGCGGAGGTGGCGCAGGAGGAGGAACTGGAAGGACTGGCGGCAGGACTGCATCGTCACTACTGCCGCTGCCATCTGACGATGCGCCTCCGTCAGCTCCGTCGCTATCTTCTGGTTCACTCTCCGACTCCTGCCCGTCGTCCTCAGGCTCGGGCTCGTCCGACTCTGGGGGGCCATCGACGCCGACGTCTCCTCCGATGTCGTCGGGATGGTCATCGTCGTCGACAGCCAGGGCCGCCCAAGAAGCGAAACCTCCATCCTTGGACTTCCTCGTGCGCCCTGGGTTCCATAGCGGGTGCAGGCAAGCAGACGTCTGCTCCACATAGCACTTGTTCGGAATGAAAGCGCCCACCATTCCAGCACCAAAATAGACCTCGAGCCAGGCGCAGTCCCAGCGAAGTGCCGTACTCATCGTCGCGGCCAGCTCGTATTGCGTGTAGTATTGGTGGTCGGTGTCGACGAGCTTCACTAGGCCATCGGGTCGGTGGCACGTCCACGTGTTGGCTTCTCCGTCCCATGCACGCCGTCGAAACCGATCACGGACCTCATCTTCGGGGTCCAGCTTTAAAAACGTAATCTCCCACGGCTTCTCCAGGGTAACGGCCACGAGGAAGAAACGAACTTCGCTCGCAGGCTCGCCGAGGTCGAACTTGACCGTCCCCGCAGCGTCAGTCGGCAAACAGCTCTGCCCCAACAGCACAAGAACAACATGGCTCGCGACGAACTTCTTCCGCAGGTCGCCCCTGGGATACAGCCGTCTGGCGTGAGCGTTGATAGCGTTCATCATGGAGATGCTCGCGCGGCCAGCTGGGGAGCACACACAGCGATTCGCTGAGTGGCAGATGTAGTCCGAAGGCTTGGGAGGGGCAGATCCTGGACCATCGAGCTTAGATGATGGCTGCTGTATGGTCTCGCAGTGCTCGCGGAAGACGCCGACCAAGGCCTTATGGAGCTCGCTGATCCCGCTCTGCTTGTACTTTCTGACGTCGATGCTTGCGATGGCCTCGGCGAGCCCCTTCAACTCTGACCACCGCTGCGAAAGGAAAGCAATGTCACCCCCGCCAACTCCGTTCCAGGGGGGGTCTCCCTGGCTCTGCGGCGCGCCACGAAGTGCAGCAAACTTTGACGAGGCCGTTGCGACAACTCCGTCCTGAGACAAGTCGTCCTGAGCACATCGGTCGTACTCCTCCGCCGCCTTCTCACGCTCAAGCTTGTGACGGTGCCTTGCGAGGATCCGAAATTGCTCCGCCCGCTGCAAGATATCCGTGTTCTCCAGACGAACAAGCTGTGCACATGCCAGGTGCGGTAAGCCAGACGGCACAACGGCCAGCGCGTCGTGTCGGACGGCCCGACCACCATATGGCGTTGGGTTCCCAGCAGCCTTGGCGACATCGGCATCGTCACACAGCTGCATGAGCCGCTCGACCTCCGCATCGGTCAAGTTCCAATACCTGTCCTTGATACCAGGCTTGTACTTGCCGTCGCCACCCGTCACACCAGATCGTTCCTGGTGGCAGCGCAACCCAACCAAACCCGAACCAAACACAATCGCCTGCACCACTTTTGCCCCCGTCAACCGCCAAACCCATAGGAGGGTTTGGACGAAGGCAAAAGGCATTGGCGATTGCGTTTACCTCGGCCCCAGTTCGTTGTGCAGCCAGCCTGAGCAAGGAACGCATGATATACAGATGTCCGCCGCCGCTTCGGCTGAGAAGCATTGTCCTCGTCGGCTGGAGCCGCTTGCTGTGGTTGCTGACGGTGGGGCTGCCGTACTCCCCACATACCCCTCGCTTCCTTCTCGAGCCAATCCATTAACCAAAAAATGTTCACCCCCTTCGTGTCCACTGCTCTTTGTTGCACGCTCCTGCCATTGATGAAGCGACGTACTCGCTGATGCCTGTACTCAATGAGGATGGTTTCCAGCCGAGCTTTCATGGCAAGGACGAGGATATCCATCCTGGCAGCGGTGGAGTCGAGGTTGCCTTCGTAATAGTCGTAACATGAGCGGGACCCAGCGTCGAGCCGTTTCTGGCAGACGGCATCGGCATCAATTTCGTCGATGAGGTGGCCGTGAACACATGTAGCAATAAGCTTGCACGGGTAGTTGCTGTTGAACACCTTCTGAACATGATTGAGGGCCCCAGCCCGAGCCAAGAGAAGAAAAGTTTGTGTCTGGCGTGCGACCGTCCTGCACACAGCTGGCAGCGGTTCCCATGCGAAGGCATCGTCCATGATCTTATTGTTTGAACTCGCAAACTCTGACTCCAGCGTGCCAGCCCAGGCGAGGGGCAAGCGAAAATCACGAAGTTGAGCTAGACCTGGAACCTCAGCTGTAGTAGGATGTCCGCCACTCGCCTCTCGATGAGCTCTCCTAGCATCGTGCACTTTTTTGCATTGGTCTTTCTCCCAGCCGTCGCCACCGATGTGCAACTTCCTTCTCATAATCTGGACGTGCGGCTCCATAGCCACAGACATAGCAAACGTGTCACCAAAAACTGTCCCACTCCTGTTCCACTCCAGAGTCGCCCGCCTCCAGCGGTGCTGGTCGCGAGCTGCAGCGTCTGCTCCCTGGCCGCCCTGTGGGCCAACAGCTGCGGCCTCGCCGTCAGGGGCAGGGCCGCCCGCGTCCCCCATGACGTCGTCGTCCAGCACTGGTGCTGCCGCAGCGTCCTCGATGGCTGGGGCGTCAGCTGCAGCGGCAGCATGGCCGTCAAGACCTGCTCCCACAAGGCCATCCTGATCGAGGCTGCCTGCCAGATGCGAGAACACGTCGTAAGCTGACTCCCAAATCCCGAGCATTGCAAGAAGAGCGACCCAACGCATGCCATCCTCACACTTGACCCACTTATTGCTCGGAAAAGAACCAGGACCCTTACCGAATAAATCCAGCCAGCCCTGCAGGGCGCGCTGTTGTTCAGGAAGCACGTACTCCAACTCCTCATAAACCTCACCTCCATATTTCCCCCCCTGGGGCCCGCGAAGGCCCCAGAAGGTCCGACAAAGCAGCCCAAGCGGGCCCCAAGAAAGTCCCATGATCATGGGGCCGCTCTTACGGCACTCTTGGGGCCCTCTTGGTGTCTCTTGGAACCCTCTGAGGGCCCCGTCCAGGGCCACCACGCGGCAACGCCGAGCCCATCGTGGGCCCTCCTTGTTACGTTGCACGCAACCACGCTGCCTTATGCCACGCTTGCCTGATCAAGGCAACCCGTCTAAGCGTATTTTTTCCGTGGGTTGGCGGGGACACGCGAAGCGCCAAGATTTTCTCAGTTGTGGTTCTTGGATCTTGGGGTGTCTGGATACAGTTTCTCGTTGGGCTTGTTTGGGCCTCGCTCGAACCCCTTTGCGAGACGTTCTTGGGGTCCTCTTGGTGGGGACATCTTGAAACCCCCATGGGGCAAGATGCGGCCGCCCATTGGAGTCCACTCGAGGCCCTATTTGTCACGCTGCCTGCATGCCGATGCATCGCATGCTGCTGGATTTCCCGATCAGGGCAACTCGCTGAAGCTGGTCTCTGAAAGGGGTGGTGCTGGGGGAGACGCGAAGCGCCCATTATATTTGACAATCTTGATTTTTCTGGCGTTGATACTGGCATCGCTCTCACCGTCTGCTGCAACAAACTTGGTCGGACTGTTTGGGGACCACACAAACGACCCAACTATTCTAGCTCTCCTCTCTGCGTTATCGGGTACATTCGGGATGAGATAATCCAAACTCCTGATCATAGCCTCCCTGCTCGCATAACTGGGAATACAGTCTCTTGCAACAGGCATCCTGATCATTACGTTCTTGATGGCTGTGCGGAACAATTTCAAGTGATTCCCAAATGTGATGGACAGCAGAGCTTGTCTGAGACGAGTGATTGCGGAACTATGCTGGCCAAAACTCGCTTGACGATTATTGCATTGCCGATGCACGTCGCATATTGTGTGTGAAAAATTGAAGTGCTTCGCAGAGGTTTCCTGGTGCCGAACAACTCTGGCAGCCTTACCGATCGCCTTGTCACCATCCGTGCAAAACCAAACATGCATTCGTCGAAACATCGAGGCGACCTCGCCCAAACCCAAGATCTGCGACACCTTCTTGTCGCATTGAACGTACACCTCAGCAGTTGTTCGCCCCATGCTCAATATTGGGATAGGGGGCCTCCAGGTAGAACAGAAGAACTTCCCTTGCACTACGACCGACCCCTTGGGGCGCAAAGAGGCGGAGAAAGTTCGTTACGATTTCCCCATAACTCGTCATAACACCACCCCTTGCCCTCCCGCTTGGACCGCCCCAATTCACCTAGAGGGGGCGCCTAGAGGGGCCGAACGGTTTGCCCCCTGGCCAACAATTACACAGCTTGGTCGAAGCAATTAGCCTGGGCATCGTCTCTGGATGAGCGGGCGGTAATCCGCGAAGCGGCATATATTCAACTAGCATGCACACCTCTACCTCGATTTGAAGAAGCTTCGCGACTCCAGCGTCGCGAGCCTCGTGCCTCTCGGAGAAGAAACCCGCAACCTCATCGATCACATCTTGCGGGAGGCCGAAAAACACATTCTTGTCAACAACTGTGAGCCTCAAGGGTGTCTCATCGAAGCGAATGAACGTGTACAGTGTGTGCAATATTCCATCGGCTCGAATGGTATCGTCCGCGATCTTGCGGATCTGATCTCTCATGCTGTATACGTACGCGATCCACGCCGCGGCTGCAGTGAGCTCGGCTTTGCATGCAAGGGTCCCGTCTGGAACACCAATTCGACGCGCATGCTCTGACAACGTCTTCGCAGTCAGCCACGCCCCATCGCGCCCGACCATGTCTGCCACGACCTTCTTGGCGTCGGGGTTGATGGCCACGGTCGCGCGGCATCGCTGGAATGCCGTGCAGACAGTGGCCAGGGCGAGTTCTGCTCGTCGGTGCCTCGCCTCCGACGGCGATTGCATCTCGAGGCCCTCTGGGCCCCCAGGGATCGCCACCGCAAGGGCGCCGCCCCCAGGCTCTGCAGCTGCTGCCTTCTTTGCGGGGCACAAACCTTCAGAAGGGATCGTGGGCCCGCCCGCCCCCCAACAAATCTCCCTTCCCTTCGTTCGTCATTCTCCCCCCGCCGCCGCATCACGCCTCGTGCGTCATCGCCATTCCTCCTTGCCCCCACCGTTTCCCTCCATCATCACTCCTCCGCATCCCTCCCCCCGCCCCCCCTCGTCCTTCAGAGCATGTCCCCCCGCCTCCCCCCCATGCATCCTCCATGCCGCCTTCCCGTCCCCACCCTCATCATCGTTCTGCTCTTCCTCAGTTGTCCTCCAGTGCCGTCCACGTCTGACCACCCCATCATCATTCTCCTCCTTCTCGCCCCCCTCCGCAGTTCAGTCTCCCTCCGTCGTCACCGTCGCCACCTCCCTCCGACATTTCCCCATCGCCCAGCCCATCCGTTTCGCCTCACGAGTCCCCCCTCCGAAGGTTTGTGTCCTTGTCATTGTGGCCCCACGGGGGCCTCGCCACCAGGAAGTGCTGCGCCCGCAGCTGGGGCGCCGCTCAGGATGTCCCTCGCCGCTGAGCTGCGCTCGGCCCAGTGACGCCGAAGCTGGCGAGCCGTCTCCGTCGCCACAGGCGGGCCGACCACCGCGATGCCGTCACATGCGCCGCACGGTGCAGCGGCTGCAGCCGCATCCGATGGCGCTCCAGGTGCCGCTGGTACGACCGCGCCATCAGCCACGCTGGGACCGCCAGGAGCGGCGGCACCTCCTGGCAAGGCCGCGCCAGGGGCGCCATGGGGCACGAACCCGTCGTCGGACGAGGCGCCCGCCCACTCGCCCCAGCGGGCGCCGTCGGAGTCGCTGTCCCCGACAGCTGACTCGACGGCCCACTGGTCCCAGCAGCAGCCCTCCGCCATGTCAACGAGGGGCCACCATCGGGCGCGAGCCCGACGTTCATCCAGACCACGCGCTGGTGACGAGGCCAGGCTGAAGAAAGCCAGACATACGATCGCAACGAGTTTGAGCCACAAATAGCAACGGACGGAGAGGAGGATAATCGGAGGGCAGAGGATATGATAACGAACTGCCGAACAAGCTCGGGAAGGCACCGTGGACCTGCGCGCCTATGAGGCGAAGCCATCCTTCCAGAAAGCTGCGCCAGCAAAGCTCTTGACCCCCCCAGTGCCCGACGCTGACGTTTCTCATGGGAACGGCTCGGGCGCCAGCAATCGGTCGTTGGCGCATGCACGTTGGATATGCCCAACGTGCAAGCGGTATGTCCAAACAGTGCTTGCACGGTCTGCCCAAACAGTGCTTGCACGGTGGCTATGCCCAAACAGCTGACACAGCCAGCGACCCAGGCTGAACGGTATGCCCAAACAGTGCTTGCACGGTGACTATGCCCAAACAGCGCTTGCACGTTGGTTATGCCCAAACAGCGGTTGTCCAAACAGTGCTTGCACTTTGGTTCTGCCCAAACAGTGTTTGCACATCGGTTATGCCCAAACAGCGCTTGCCCATGCAGTGCTTGCACACCTACCATGTGTAGACTACTCAGTCTCGGAGCCAGCATTCTAATATTCATGGTGGACCTATGGGTTTTGAGATCGGGTGTAGCAACGCACCCGCAGTTCTAAAACCAACAGTGGGCGGGGTGGGGCTATCATGGGCGGGGAATAACGCCATGGCGGCGACGCAATTGGTATTATTTCGGGACCGCGTGATTAAACTGGTTGTTTCTAGTGTCACGTTCGCCCCCCATCGGAAGTCTACGTCCCGACGTCAAGCGTGTAAAATTGTATGGAGGGGGTCTTCAGCCTTGCCGCCCCATTCGCTCCACCCCCGCCCCCATCTCATGCCCATCCACCCCCGCCGCACCCCTATCCTGCTCCGCCACGTCCACGCCCAGCCCCCGCCCTGCCCCCGTCAAGTTTACATCACCCCCCGCAATGCACATGTCCTATCCCGATCCTGCCAGCGAACCCCAACGCCATTCCCATCGCATCCCCGCCCTGCCCCACCTCCCAAACCCATCCCCACCCGATGCACCATGCACCCATCGCATCATTACCCCGCCCACATGTTTTCCCTATCAAATCCGTGTCCCGCCTTAATTGGCACCCCGTCCCGTCCCCGTCCCATCCCTGCCAAACCGAACCCCATCATCATCCCACAGCTAGCCGATCCCATCCCATCATCATCGCGTTCCCAATCACATTCCCCCGTGGCACCCTGCCCCTAACCCAAGACCATTTCGCCCTGACCCCGCCCGCAACCCAAGCCCGCGCCCATCCCCCATCGCACCCCCCGTCCCGCCCCCATCACACGCCCTTCCCCATCCCCACCGCATGCCCATTATACACCAATTCAATTGTGTTCATGCTGCGCCCCCCCTGCATCATGATCCCTTCTTACCTCCTTGTATGGAAGAACTCTCCGCCCAGCAAACCCCCTTTATACGTTCCCAATCATGTCCCAACCCACGCGCCCGTTGTACTCCAATCCAAAGCCATATCCCACCCCCATCGCATCCCCAATCTATTCCCAGACTGCCCCACGATTTGCCCGTCTATCCCCAACCTATCCCGCACGTGATACACATTAGCCCCCATATCATTCTCTCGTTGTCCTCACCCACTCCCCGCCCCGCCCTCGCCGCCCCATAGCGTTTGGCGCGCGGGCGGGGCGTGGACACGTGGGTGGTAGCCATGCGAAGCTATGCGTTCGCGCGTCACGAGCGCGCATCACGCTTGGTCGCGCCGTTGTGAAAGACGTATCATCGTGCTCCGACGCTTTGCGCTATGTGTTTGAGAGAAACGATTTTTCTCAAAAACCCGTTCGAAATAAAAACCAAAATATTTTGATTTTCAAGAGGATTCCAATATCCCATGGCTTAATGGTATAGAAAGATCTCAATCCAAGAGGGCCAAACAGGGCCATAAAAAGGACCTCCAGCAGGGCCCGAAGAAGCCAAAATCATGACTTGGAGACAGACTGGTTCACCCGATCGCGATTCAACCGCTCCAATTCACCCGACCCCTGGTCCAGGTAGATCGCGACTCGGTGAATTAAGCCGGATGAGGTAAGCACCAGGTGAATTAAGCCGGGTGGGTTAAGCCTAAGCGCTGGGTGAGTTAGGCCGGGTGAGTGAGACACCAGGTGACTTAGGCACCGGGTGAGTGAAGCACTGAAGCACCAGGTGAATCAAACACCGGATGAGTTAAGCACTGGGTGAATTCGGCACTGCAGTGCCTAATTCACCCAATGCTTAACTCATGAGTAAGTTAAGCACCGGGTGAGTCACTGGGTGACGTAGGCGCTGGGCGAGGTAGGCAAGGGGTGAATCAATAATCGGTAGAGTCAGGAACCGGGTGAGTTAGACACGGGGTGAGTTAGGCATTGAATGAGTTAGGCACAAGGGTGAAAGAGGCGTTGGGTGAGTCAAGCACTGGGTGACATAGGCACCGGATGACTGAAACACCGGGTGTGCTAAGCACCGGTCAAAGTATTTACCGGGTGAATTAAGCACCTGGTGAAAAAGGCACCATGTGAGTTAGGTATCAGGTGACTTAGGCACCTGGTGAATTAACGACTGGGTGCGTCCGGGTGAGCTAGACGCCGGGTGAGGTAACGACTGGGTGACTTAGGCGCCCGATTAATTAGGCACCGGGTGATTTCGGCACCGGGCTTGGCACCGGGTGAGTTAGGCATTTTTTACCGAGTCTCCTACATGTGCCATTGCGGCCTTTCCTCTTCCACCGTGGGCTACCCTGTTTAGCCCAAAAAATGTTTTGTAGCGCGTCCTCTGTTTGTGTCCGACCCGGCATTTCCACCGACTCCCTCCATACCTCCAATACCTCCAAGACGCGCGCAGGGCTCCCGACAGGCCTTCGCGAGAGCTCCAAGAGAGGTTCCAAGAGGGCCGCAAGACTTCCCAGAAGAGTTCCTGGTCCACGAGCCTCTAAGAGGCGATGTTGAGGGCTCTGTCCTCGTCCTCGTTGTCCTCCTGTTCCTCCTCGTCCTCGACCTTGCCCTCATCGTCTTCCTTTTCTTTTCCTCCTCTTCCTCGTCGTCGTGATGGTGGTGGTCGTCGTCGTTTTTTTATCGTCGTTTGTTTTGTCATTTGTTCTTATTATTTGCTTGCTTCCTCCTCCTCCTCCTCCCCCTTCTCCTGCTCCTCATCTCCACCTCATCCTTCTCCTCCTCCTCCTCCTCCTCTTCCTCCTCCTCCCCCTCCTCCTCCCCCTCCTCCTCCTCCTCCCCCTCCTCCTCCTCCTCCTCCTCCTCCTCCTCCTGCTCCTCGTCCTCCTCCTCCTCCTCTTCCGCCTCCTCCTCCTCCTCCTCCTCCTCCTGCTCCCCCTCCTCCTGTTCATGCTCCTCCTCCTCTTCCTCCTGCTCCTCGTCCTCGTCCTCGTCCTCCTCCTCCTCCTCCTCCTCCTCCTCCTCCTGCCTCACCCTTTCCCCCCTGTCGCGCGGTTCGGCGCTACAGCGCACGTGCGCATCTCAGCGTGGACCGCAGAATGGTCCATTGAACCTCTCCACTTGATTCTCGGACGGCCAATTTTGCTGGGGCCTCCTGGACGCAGATGGGAGAAATTACGATGATGCGGGCGGACTCCGGAAGACTCGTCGGTTCCAGCGGCGATCCTTTTTACAGAAGGAGTCCGTTCCACATCTGATATGAAACATTTGTTTCCTGTGGCATCCACAAGCGCTCCAATTTCTGACATAGTGATTCCATCTACAAATCAATGTTCAACAGGTGTGCTCTGTTGCACACGGTTGCTGTGGTGCACACGGGCGCCGTGGTGTACACAGGCGCTGTTTTGCACACGGCTGATGTGGTGTACGCACACGCTGTGGTGTACACAAGCGCTGTGGTGCCCGCAAGCAGTGTGGCACACATTGGCGCTGTGTTGCACGCGGCTGCTGTGGTGTATACAGGCGGCGTGGTGCACACAGGCGCTGAGGTGCACGCGGGCGCTGTGGTCTACACAAGCACTGTGGTGCAGATCGCCACCTAAACGCTGCTGCGACCCGTCCTCGGTCATTCCCAGGCATTCCCAGACGCCGCCGGCGCGAAACGCGACGTCAGGCCCCCTCCCACCCCCAGAAGATGGCCGTCATCGGTCCATATATATATATATATATATATGTACATATATATATATATAGAACCAGTAGAAACACGCGCGATCGCACGTGAGCCACGGGTGCCGCTGTGAGCCCTGCTGTGGCCACAACGCAGATTTCCAGCATTCTCGGGCCCATACCATCGACGCAAAGAAACGCGTAGTCAGAACGCGGGGCGGCACGTTCCCGCGCATCTCACAATCTCGTTGCCGCCTTTGTTTGGTCTGTCGAACTGCGCGTGTTTCTCCACTTTCACTTCCGCTCTGCCCCATCGTGACACTCAATGTTTTTGCACATCCGTTCGGTCCCCCCATGCCCGATCACGCAGACATCCGCCGGCTCCTGATGTTGGGATTGGCTCGGGGCCGCGTTGCGCGCGCGTGGGAGCGCGTTGTGTTTGTTCCCTCTGCCTTGTGGTCCAGGCTTCTCGTTCTCAGCGGTCGTTCAGCTGCCGGGTATCTGCAGAGGGCGCGCGCAGATGTCCCGGTCATCACCGCCCTTCTCTGCATTCAATTGTTGTCGAACCCGTCCACGGGACTGAGGAAGCTCTTTTGTGTTGGACGCCAAACCTCATCCTGGCGATAATCGCACCCGTGGGGGCAGAAGGTACGGGCTCATGGGGAATGCTAAACGATTTGCCTGGCAAGTCCACTGTATGCGGCTGCCTGGAGCTCTGACGGGGCCTCTGGCGGTACACTCTTGGCGCTTTGGCGAAGCCTTTATTTTTCTCAGGAGGTGAGAGTGGCACGGAACCTGAGAAATTGTATAGTATAGTCAAGCCCCGTTCGTTCGGGCGGGTCCGCCCTGCAAGGGTGGGAGGAGCAAGAACCGCGTGAACAAAATATGGTGTAAGGATACCCTGCTCTCTCTGGCGGGTGTTTCCCTGGCGCTCTGGCGGGGCTTGCCGAAGAGGGGAGGGGTACGACACTTGAGGAAAGTCATGGTATAGCCATACCCCGTGCGCTCTTGACGGGGCTACCTCGGGTGCGGTGGGAGGAGCAAGACATATCAGGGACTGTCTATGGTATAACAGCACCTCTCTCGCTTTGCTGGGGCCGCCCTTCAGGGGTGGAAGGGGCAAAGCAACTTGTGAAATGATAGGGTGTAGCAATGCCCCGCTCGCTCCAGCGGGGCTGTCTGGCGCTCTGGCGGGGCCGTCCCAGGAGAGGAGGGAGGAGCACGAACGCTGAGGGGTGAGGGGAGGAAGAGGAGAGAGGAGGGAATGGAGGCAAAGGGAAGGCAGCGGGAAGGAAGAAGGGACGGAAGGGGGATGCCCGGGCCATCTGGGCCGTCTTCGAGCGCCCCGGGGCCTCCCGCTCCCGCTCTGTGGCCCATTTTGCGCCTGTCCTGGGGCCTCTTGGGCCGTCTGGGGTTCCTCGCGGGCAATTTGCAGGCTCTCTGGAGCCGTGTTGGAGCTCCTTTGGGGGCGTTTTCGGCGGTCTTGGGGCGGTATTGGGGGCGTCTTCGGCCGTCTTCGAGCATTGGAAGCTCGAGAACGCGAGAAAGCGGAAAACATTGAAAAAACAGATGCGAATCAGTGATCTGGGCCTCTTTGGGCTCTCTCGGGACGTCTCTCGGAGCTCTCCTAGGGCCTCTTGGAGGCCGCTTGGGTTGTGTGTTTGCCGTCTTGAGCTCCTCTTGGGCCACGTTGGGATCATCTGGGCCGTACTAGAACGCCTTGAAGCATTCCGCCCCCGCTCTTGGGCCCATCTTGAGCTCCTCCTGGGATTATCTTGGCCAGTCTTGGGCTGCTCTTGGGCAGTCTTCAGGCCCTCGGGGGCCGACTTGGGGCTTTTTTGGGGGCCTCTTCGGCGGTTTTGGAAGGCGATCTTCGGGGCGCCTTTGGCCGTCTTGGAGCTTTGGAGCTCGAGAACGCGAGAAAAGGAAAAGCATGTGAAAGTACAGCCGGAAATCAAGGATGTGGGCCTCTTCGGGTTCTTTCGGGACGCCTCTCGGAGCTCTTTTGGGGCCTTTTGGATGCATATTGGGCTGTGTATTGGTCGGGTCGGGCCCATCTGGGGCCACGTTGGGGCCATCTGGGCCGTCTTGGAGCGCCTTGGGGCCTCCCGCTCCCGTTCTGTGGCCCAGCTTGGGCCTGTCCTGGGGCGTTCTTGGGCCGTCTGAAGCCCCTCCTGGGCAATTTTCGGGTTCCGTGGGGCTGTCTTGGGGCTCTTCTGGGGACGTCTTCGGCGGTCTCAAGGCGGTCTTGGGGGCGTCGTCGGCCGTCCTGGAGCCTCGGAAGATCGAAAACGCGAGAAACCGAAAAACATCAGAACAAAACAAAGAAAAACAAAGATTTTGGCCTTTTCGGGTTCTCTCGGGACGCGTCTCTGAGCTCTCTTGAGGCCTCTTGGGGGCCTCTTGGACTGTGCATTCGCGGTCTGGAGCCCATCTCGGGCCACGTTGGGGCTATGATCTGGGCCGTCTTGGATGGACTTCCCCTGGGGGCTTCTGGGAACGTCTTGGAGCTCTCTGGGGCAGACTGGGGTCTCCACGGCCCCTCCGTGGTGCTCTGGGAGTGGTCTCGGAGGCCCCGGTCATCTCATGCGCGCTCGGGCCCCGGGCCCCAGGCCCCGGGCCCCCGGGCCTCGTGCACAGGTGTGTGTATATATATATATATATATATATATATATATATATATACACAAAATCGTGTTCTGCTAAGTGGGTTTCTGTTCTGCTGAGTGGGCTCCCGATGTGCTTGATCCAGTTGCCAGCTCCGCCTCCTGCTGCTGGTCCTGTTTTTTCCTGCTCGTCGTCCTCCTTGTCCTCCTCCTCCACTTCCTCCTCCTGTCCTCCTCCCCTTCCTTCCTCTTTTCACGTCCTACTACCACTTCCTCCTCGTCTTCCTTGCCTCCTCCGCCTCCCCCTCCCCCTCCTCCTCCTCCTCCTCCTCCTCCTCCTCCTCCTCTTCCTCCTCCTCCTCATCTGCCTCTGCGGCCTTCGGCGGCCTGCGGCGGTCCTCGTTGGCTTTCGGCGGCCCTTGGCGGCCTTCGGCGGCCCTCGGTGGCTTTCGGCGGCCCTCGACTGCTTTCGGCGACAGCGGCGGCGACGACGACCGACGACGACAAAAATCCGCTCAACATCGGTCTCCAGACCCCTCCTGGGGTCCATCCCGGCCAGTTTTTCGAGCTGCGTCTCGCCGTGGCGACGGGAGCCGCGAAGCGTCCAAAGAACTTTCGACTGACGACGTCGAACGACGACGATGACGACGACGACGACGACGACAGCAGCGGCGGCGACGGCGGCGACGTCGGTTGACGACGACGTCGGTTGACAACGGCGACTACGACGGTAAACGACGGACGACGGAAGACGCACGACGACGGCGACGACGACGACGACGACGACCGACCACGACGCACGACGCACGACGCACGACGCACGACGCACGACGCTCAACGCACGACGCACGACGCACGACGCACGACGCACGACGCACGAGGACGCCGACGCCGACGCCGACGCCGACGCCGACGCCGACGCCGACGCCGACGCCGACGCCGACGCCGACGCCGACGCCGACGACGACGACGACGACGACGACGACGGCGGCGGCGGCGGCGGCGGCGACGGCGGCGACGACAACGACGACGGCGACGACGACGACGGCGGCACCCTCGCGCGCCCGCGCGCGCGACGCGCGCGGGGCTTGCCACCGCCTCCCCCTCCCCCAAGGCTGGCTTGCCACCGCCTCCCCCTTCCCCAGGAAGGCCTTGTCGGGCGTCTCGGGCTGCTCCTGAGAGTCGCCTCTCGGAAGCTCGTGTGCTCTCCGAGGGGCCTCTTGGGGATTCCGCTCGCTTTGCGGGGTGCGCGCGCGGAGCGTGCACAGTGCGGGCGTGGTGGGCGTCCTGGAAACCTCTCGGGGGCCTCCTGGGAGCGCATATGTGGGGAGCCATGCGCCTCTTAGAGAGCTTCTTGGGGGCCTCTCCAGGCCGCCTTGAGGTCCTCCCGGGGCATTCCAGGACGCTCTGGGGCACCTCTTGGGCCCCCTGGGGCCGTCTCCGGGCCCTCCTGGGGCATTCGTGGACAGTCGGCAGCCCGTCTGGGCATTCGTGGACAGTCGTGGGGCAATCTTGGGGCCAGCTTGGAGGGATCTCGGAGGCCTCCAAAGCATTCGTGGACAGTCGGCAGCCCGGGAATTCGAGGACTCCAAACTCCATCGGAAACCTAATGAAAATCCATGGTTTAAGCCTTTGGGGGCCCTCCTGGAGGTCCTATGGGATCCATCCTGGGCGATGTTGTCGGGCTTCCTAAGCTTTCTCGAGGCCGTCCTGGGCCACCTTGCTGCTATTTTGGGTGATCTTTGTCGGCAGCGTCTTGGAGGCGATCCTGAATCGTCCCGGGTCCTCTCTAGGGGCCTTCTGAGGCTGCCCGCGTCGCTTCAACAGCCGCGTGCCGCAGGACTTCCGCCACGTTCCGCCGGCGTTCCGCCTGTGGCCCAGGCTAGATTTCGAGGGGCCCCCCAACCCCCCCCAGGAGAATGCACAACGGTAGCCCCTCCGCAATGTCGGGGGGAAACTGCTTCGGCTTGCTCAGGACATTGGAGGTCCACGTCGTCGTCCCTCTCTCCCCTACTACTCCTCCTGCTTCTCCTCCTCCTCCTCCTCCTGCTTCTCCTCCTCCTCCCTGCTCCTCCTCCTCCTCGTCCTTCTCCTCATCCTCCTCCACTCCTCCTCCTCCTCCTCCTCCTCCTCCTCTCCTCCTCCTCCTTCCTCCTCCCTCCTCTCCTCCCTCTCCTCTCCTCTCCTCCTCCTCCTCCTCCTCCTCCTCCTCCTCCTCATCCTCATCATCATCATCATCATCATCATCATCATCATCATCATCATCATCATCATCATCATCATCATCATCATCATCATCATCATCATCATCATCATCATCATCATCATCATCATCATCATCATCATCATCATCTCATCCTCATCCTCATCCTCATCTCCTCATCTCATCATCATCATCATCATCATCATCATCATCATCATCATCATCATCATCATCAGCATCACCATCATCATCATAATCATCAGCATCATCATCATCATAGTCACCATCACCATCACCATCATCATTATCATCATCACCACCACCATCAGCATCAGCATCATCATCATCATCATCATCATCATCATCATCATCATCATCATCAGCATCATCCTTGTCGTGCTCCTCCTCCTCCTCCTCCTCCTCGTGTTCCTCCTCCTCCTCCTCCTCCTCCTCCTCCTCCTCCTCCTCCTCTCCGTAGCCATTTTGGCTCAAGTGCGGCGCAGGCCCCGCAGCAATTTCCGTAATGTTTTTTTCGCTCGGCGCCCTAGCCCCGTCTCCGCCTCATCGTGGCACTTGGGTGGCATCGGGGCGACCTCATGTTGTGTGACGTTCAACCGGTGGCGAAGGGAGACGACAAGTCAGGCTACGCATTTTTGTATTTTCAGTTTGGCCGTGCTTCTTCTATTCATTGGTGGGGAGGGCTGGCGGTACCGGTGCTTTTGGGCGGACAAAGTGCAGTCAGTTCATCATCCTATCTTTGGAGTTATGGAGGAGTTTTGCATAGTGCTACGGTCATGTTTTTTCCTTTCTCTCTCATCGCCGTCGTGATGTTTATCGACATGTGGGCGTTGGCCACGGAATCCTCACCATCCTGTGCTTCTTCGCCTCGTCGCGGCTGTATTCGGCTGAGCCTGGCCAGCGCAAGGCAGACGCTTTCTTTTGGTGGCTTTTCTGTATTGGCTGAGCCTGGCCCGCGCAAGGCAGACGCAGTTTTTGGTGGGATGGAGTTGTATGGCATATTAGTGGAAAGCATTCCGAGGAACCTGAGCATTTTCTTCAGCGGGACTGGGGCTTGCAATAACGGTGAAGGGCTTTCTTGGTACGTGTGCATCCTCCTGTTCATTTCCGTGTATTTCAGCTCCGTGTCGGGCATCGTCGTC